TCGAGTCTTTGATGATGGATAGCAAGTATATGTGACTTATGAATTGTTTTGTGTGGTTGTGTTACTATGCGAATTCCTAAGCTATGTCATGAGATTGTAAGAAGCTGTAAGGTGTCCAAAGTCTGGCTATATTGAGGCATTGTTTCAGTTTTTCATTAAAGGATTTAGTATGCTTGAGTTACCAGTTTAGAAGCATGTTAAGTGTTAGAAAAATTTTGATTAGAGGGGCATGATGTTTGAGTTGGTAGCAGGATATGGAATATGACTGTTATTTTGATGTTAAGTTGTTCATTTTTGTTGAGCTCTGTCATCATAAAATAACTGTTATTTGCAGGCTGAAAGGTGTGGGTTCATGCTGAATAAATGTACCGTCATTTCAGGATAGAGAGCATGAGAATTGTAGTATTAAGCCTTGTTGTTTGTTGTTGTCGCCTCACATTTATTATGTGCTACTTGTGTGTCGATTTTCACTTGGTAGTGAAATGCTTATACCCAGTTTCGGGCCTTGATGTGATGCTTAAATTTTGTGTAAGCTGGAAGAGGAATAGAAATTCATGTGTCTGGCCTTGATTGCTTTGAGTGTTTAACCTTTATCGTATGTTCTAAGTGTTGTGAAATGTGTTATTTTTAGAGGACCTTGAGCTATAAATTCAGTTTTAATGGCGAGTTTTGAAGAGGAAAGAAGAGGCTAGTATGTTGTTTTAGCCGTGTGCCTTAATTGATTAACTGTTATTCTTATTTGTGTGTTATGCTTGCTTTTGTTATGTGGCTTAATAAACCCAATCAAAACCTTAATAATAATTAAATTCGTAATTCTTAGGTTTGAGGAGTCGAGCCCTCGACCTATGTTCTCCGGCTATTTATCGCCTACTCGATTTTCAGGTGGGTTTTGAAAAATTGTCTATGCTGTAAATGTTATTACTGTTATAATTGTTTACTTGTGGTACGATCAAAGTATGCATGTGGAACATGTAGCCTTCGATGTGAGCTGTATCGGCCATCGAACGGTTATCCCCGTAGCTATAGAACGTACCCGATGGGTAGTCTCCTTTATTATTGTTGGCAGTCAGGGCGTGAGCCTTGGCTGGTGATCCCCGTGTAAGGCCAAGGGCCATCGGAGTGGATTTACTCCTACTGGCCGAGCACTCGATGTGAGGCCAAGGGCCATTCGATATATAGCCGACAGTAGTCTATTGATATAGGTGTGTACATGAGAGTGATTATTGATTATTGATGGGAGATTGGGATAGATAGTTGTTTTGTATACATGCTGAGACCATACCTTAATGATTTATGATTACTGTTTCAATATTGTGAATAACATTTACTGCATAGTAGTGAGCACTACTGTTCCTCTTGTGCTCATCCCCACCTGCTCTTCATGGATGCAGGTTAGTATGGCGGGCACGGTGGAGGGAAGCGAGTGGTGGTTACAAAAATTGTTATTGCTTCCGCTTGAAATTGAATTATTGTTATTATTGTCTTATTGATTACTGGATTATTGATAGGGAATGTATTCCCTAGGATTGTATGAGTATTGGATAATTGGATTAGATTATTGATTATTAATGAATGAGTACTGAGGATTGAGTATTGATGATTGATAAGTATTGATTATTGATTTGAAAATGAGTAGCGCCTCAAGTGTTTTGAAATAAATTTCGAAAAATTTATTCTGATTTTCGGCAAATAAAAGTGGGGCGTTACAGTTGCAGTCATGGCTTCTTTCAGTTTCCCAAATGCCTTCTCGCTAGTTTCGGTCCATGTGAACCCGCCTTTCTTAGTCATCTCTGTCAGTGGTTTGGCGATGGTTCCATAATCCTTCACGAACTTTCTGTAGTAACCCGTGAGTCCTAGAAATCCCCTCAGCTGTGTGAGACTTGTCGGTTTTGGCCAATCGATTATAGCCTCAATCTTTCGTGTATCAACCTTCAAGCCCTCGTGGGATATGAAGTGCCCCAGATACTCAACCATCTTCTGCCCGAATGAACATTTGGATGGCTTGATGAAATGAGTTGGCCTCCAAAATTTCGAGCACTACTCTCAAATGCCCAAGATGTTGGCCCCACGACTTCGAATAGATCAGGATATCATCAAAGAATACCAGAACGAACTTACGTAGATACTCCTTGAAGATGGAATTCATAGCGAACTGGAAAGTGGATGGGGCGTTGCACAACCCGAATGGCATAACTAGATACTCATAGTGCCCTTGGTGCGTACGAAATGCTGTCTTTGGAATATCGGCCTTGTGGAGTCGAATCTGATGGTAACCAGCTCTCAGGTCGAGTTTGGAGAAATAGCGTGACCCAGCTAACTCATCGAGCATGTCGTCGACACTAGGGATAGGAAATCGGTCCTTGATAGTTGCGGCGTTCAGAGCTCGGTAGTCAGTACAGAACCTCCACGTGCCGTCTTTCTTTTTAGCTAACAGGACTGGAGAAGAAAACGGACTCTTGCTATGCTGGATTAGTCCTGACTCAAGCATCTCGGCCACTTGCCGTTCGATCTCGGTTTTCTGAAAGTAAGCGTACCTATAAGGGTGAACGTGTATGGCGTGCTGCTCATTGATCAGTGGTATGCGATGATCGAACTCCCGGTGTGGGGGTAGTCCTTTAAGCTCGCCCAGTACTCCTTCAAATTCCTTGAGGAGCTCGCGCACATCTCCCTGTTGTTGTTCTTCTTGGTCAATGTGCTCCTCTGTTTTCTCTACTACTACTGCAAATATTTGGCCTCCACCCCGCCAATCTTTCTCAATGCTCTTAAGCCCTACTTCCTTGGTGCCTTTTTCATTGCCACTACTCAGAGTGACTTGCTGACCTCCGGAGTTGAACTCCATAATTCCTGTTCGATAGTCCGTGGTCACCTTTCCTAACCCTTCGAGCCACTGTACTCCTAGGACGACATTCGGCCCAACCAAAGGTAAGGCATAGAGATCAGCCTTCACCGTAACTCCGCTGAACCTGATTGGCACCTTCCGGAAGGATTTAGTGCATTGCAGCCTCTCACCATTGGCTACTCGTACCTCAAAAGGCTCAATCCTCGTGGCTGGTAAGTTCAGCTTCTGGGACAAGTCGGCATTGATGAAGTTGTGTGATGACCCATTGTCCACGAGCACCACTACCTTCCGATCCTTGACCCAGGCCGGCAATCGCATCGTTCGAGGCCCTCTAATCCCGGCCATTGTGTGCATCGAGATTTCTGCTTTTTCGTCGGGCCCCTCAACTTCAATATCCTAATGTGGTTCATCCTCGACCTCAGATCCTTCCTCATCAGGATTAGCAACTTCGATCACAAAAGCTTGCTTACACTGATGACCTGGTGTAAATTTCTCCTCACACTTGAAACATAAGCCTTTCTCACGTCGACGTTTAACTTCCTCGGGAGACAGCCGCCTTACTATCGACCCCGCCGGTCGATTGCTGACGTTCGGCCGTGCGCTGGCCGTTACCTGGTTCGGTCCCATGCGTCGCGTGTCCGTGAATCGCACATCCGCCCGTCCCCTTCGCGTAGCGACTAGATGGTCTTCTCGCCATCGGGCTATCTCCATGGCGTTATGCATCGTATCTGGTCGCTCCAGTCGGACTTCTGCGGCTAGATCGAATCTCAGCCCACCTATGAAGGCTCCTACTAGCGCATCCTCAGACCAATCCCGTACGCGACAGGCTAGTCGTTCAAACTCCTTGATATATTCACGCAAATTGTCTGTCTGTCGTACTCGTGCGAGGGCCTCATTGTAGTTATGGTAATCGGACGTACCAAAACGTGTGAGCAATTCTCTCTCAAAGTCAGCCCACGTAATGACCTGTTGCCGCCTACGGTAGACCCTTGAGAGCCACTGCCACCAGACGTTAGCCTCTCCATCCAAATAGAATGTTGCGTACCTTACTCGATCGTGGCCTTCGGTTTCATTCAGTTCAAAATATTGCGCGATTCGGTTGAGCCACGCCTCTGGATCACTACCTGTGAAGATGGACATTACGAATCTCGGATTGTCGGGTTTCGGCCGTTCTCGATAGGTAGACGCCTGCGATCGCTGATCGAACTCCTCCTCGTGCTCGTAACCCTAGCGTTGCCGGTCCTCGTCATGTTCGTATGTGCACCGTCGCTCGCGTCGATCCTCGCGCCGTGGTGAGGGTTGTGCATTCGGCATGCTCGGCGTGTTGGCGCGGTTCGCGCCTTGGGGGATCATCGCGATGGTGTGGGGGTTGCTGCTGGAACGCGCGCAAGACTTCCTCTAATCGCTGTTCAAGTCGTGTGACAACGGCGTTGGTGTTGTTTTGACTTTCGTCAAGCGATCCAAGCCTTCCTTCCATAACCTCGCTCATACTTCGCATCTGGATGTCAAGATTGTCGATCTTATCCTTCATCTCTTTGTTGGCCATGGCTTTTCTTTCTTCTCTCCGCTCTTTGCTTTGTGGACTCGTGGTTGAAGATGATGATGATGATGAACGAAAATATATTTATATTTTTTTTTTTTTTTTGATAAGGGGACGAAAAAACGAAAAGAAAAAGAAAGGGAATGGGGTAGAGGAAAAACACACGATCAACACCTCTCAATTAAAGCACCAATGATGAGGATTGTGTGTTTCGATTGCCGATAAGCCGCGAACCCGCGCCTTGAATCGCCGATAGTGTTTCTCTAGACACAACCGCGCCTATTGAAACGATAAAATTGCAATAGTATTCTGGTGAAAAGACTAAAGCAAAGTTGGAAGAACAAAGTTCTAGATTTCTATTGATTTCTTGGATTATTCAATGAATAAAAATAACATAGGGATGGGGCCTTTATATAGGCACAAAATTATATCTAAGCCTAATCTACCTAGGGAATTATTAAAGCAATAAAATATTAAGTATCCTAATTATAATACTAGTTGGAAACTAAATCTCTTGGTGTGCACTCCAAGCAATCCTCTCTCTCTCATTCTCTTGCGCACGCACGCCCTTAGGTCGGTCACCGCCATAGTCCACGCCCTAGTCCTCGAGGACTAGGGCACCGCCCCTTTCGTGCGCGTGTCGCCCATCCAGCGTGCTGCGCACGCCGTCGCTTCTTGCGCCTCAACGCGCGCGTCCTCCCCGCCCGGCTGTCCGCATTCCTCGAGGACTGAGGGCTTGCGCGCGCGTGCTGCCCCGTTGCACGGTCCTTCTGCGCGCGTGCTCCCGAGCACCGCGGCCCGCGCGTCCTGTTCACCCACCCCCGCGTCCACCGTGCCCCTTGCCTGCACGCGATAGACGTCCGTTCCGCGCGTACTGCTGCCGCGTGTTTTGCCAACGTCCCCGCCTTCTGTCTGCGCGTCCGTGCGCTGGTTATCTTCACCCGTTTGGCGCGCACTACCCTCCAGTGCGCGCATTTCTGCCGTCACTCGTGCTTGCCTCTTGCACGCATGGTAGGCCCGACTGGCGGCATTCTTGAGCTGCCTAGCCACTTCCGCATCAAGCAGCGCGCACCGGCAGCAGCCAGGGGCAGCGCGCGGGCTGACTTGGCCAGCAAGGAAAAGGGACTTCTAGAAGGCTTTTTGAGCTGAATTTTCCCTAGATCTTTCTTCCCAACTTGGAGTGGAAGCCAAGTTATTTAGTTTCCTTATTACTTAATAATTTCTACCTTAATTAGGATTTCTATTATTTTATTTGTAACACCCCGACTGACTAATACATCAGAGTACGCGGTTTTTCGCAAATTTTCTGAATAAATAAATAAATAAACTAACTTCTTAATTTGCGGAACTGATTCGGGGGTTACCATGGAAAACATAACTACTGAAAACCGTTAGAATTTAAAACTGAAACGTGAAACGGTTATAATTTATTGTCCGACTAATGTCAGAACAAAGTCTGAAGGTTTTAGCGGAAGTCTTAGCGTGGCAATAACATAAAAGTCTGATAAAAAGTTCTGAAAAGTTTAATCATTCAACATCAAGTACAGAAATCATGAAT